AAATATTCTCCATTGAAAATATTTTCTCCTGTAGATGCATCTCTAGTGAATCCAACTCCTGTTGCTGATGTATTTCCCATATTACCGAAAACCATAGCTTAGACATTAACTGCAGTTCCCCAATCTTCAGGAATCTTGTTAAGAATTCTATAATATTTAGCTCTGTCATTGTTCCAACTATCAAATACTGCTTAAATAGCTCTCCATAATTATTATTATGGCTCTTATGGGAAATCTTTTCCTGTTTTAACTTTAACAGCTTCCTTGTACTTGGTAACGAGTGTCTTAAGATCATCAACATCAAGTTCGGTATCTTATTTAACTCCTTTAGCATGTTTAACACCTTCGATGATTTCTTCAAATGGATCGATGTCTTCTTTAGTTGTTGGCTTCATATCCAAAACAATGTCACTGAACATTTGAATGAATCTTCTGTAAGAATCCCATGCAAATCTTGGGTTATTTGTTCTCTTGCTCAATCCTTCTACTGAGACATCATTTAATCCCAAATTAAGAATGGTATCCATCATACCAGGCATAGAAACTCTAGCACCAGATCTAACAGAAACAAGTAAAGGATTTTCAGCTGAGCCAAATTCCATCTTGGTCAATTCTTCAACTTGATGAAGTGCTTTTTCAACATCAGCTTTGATGAGAGCGAAAGTGTTTTCTGCACCATTTTTAGTGTATAAATTGCAAGCTTCTGTTGTAATTGTGAAGCCTGGGGGTACAGGAATACCAATCAAATTCATTTCTGCTAATCCTGATCCTTTGCCTCCCAAAAGATTCTTCATAGCTGCACTGCCTTCAGCTTTGCCATCACCAAATGTATAAATATATTTGCTCATTTATTTATTTAATTCATTGAGACGTGTATCCATCACCTTTTGTATGAAATTTTTATACACCAATTATTTTTCCTTAATATCTTGTTATTGCGCACTATTACTTTATAATATTTCTAGATAATTATATTTATTTATAAATTTCATTCACAAACTATAACTTTTGGAAAGTGATCTGATGCATATTATCCACTAATTTAATCATTTATAATCATCATATTCTTCTACTTAAGATTACCCAAGAAAATATAATCTATATGTATGCCTAATTTTAATCCATACCATGCATGATATGTTGCTAATGGCATATCTATAATACCAATTGTATTTTCTAATTTAAAATCTTACCATATAGAAGAAGTCAAGATTTTAACCGGCTCGCTTAATGGTAAACTATTCAAATCTCCCATTACAATAATTTTATCTTCAGGAGAACAATATTATTAAATATGTCTTTTAATTTACTCAGCTGACTTAATCTATGAAATTTTATTTTCATGATCAAAATGGGCATTGTAAACATGATATATTTTTTGACTTTGTTTATGCAATAATTAAACATGTGTGCATATTCGAGGAAATCCATTACCATAACTTTTTGATCCTGCAATATGTGGTGTATCTGAAAACCAAAATATTTCAGCCTAAATTAAATTATATTTAATCATATCATAATAAATAGGGCATGCTTCATCATCCCAAAAATTACACTATCTCCCTCTGCCTATAGAATTATAATTCACTTATAAATTTTATAATAAATCTGCTTGTTAATGAGCAAGTACTTCTTATAATCCAAATATTTCAGGATTAATTTATTTTATTAATTTGTAAACAATTTATTTTCTATGATTCCAATCATTCTTTCCATCCTCTTTACAATCATATCTTATATTAAATGTCATAATTTTTAGCTATTCAGTATTCATCATTCTATCAAGAACTCTATTATTTCCTTCATCCCATTTTATGTCTTATGTGGGATTATTTGTTTATGCTACAAAGTACTTATATTCAACTACATTTTCAATATTAATATAAATTTAACATAACCACAAATTAGTCTCATTATAATTTAATTTAATTGCTTTATCAGGATTCCAATGTCCTAACTCATTGCAATTTCCTGTTACATAGAGAGATTATCCAAGTTATAAAGGTCTTATTTGTGCAAATGTAATTTACATACTAATAAATTATTATTTTATATATTGTATTATTATTTATAATTGATCACTATTTCATAGCAAGACCAGCTTCAGGGATGAAGACTTCTAAGATACTTTTCAATTCAGCATCATCTTATTTGCTTAATTCACCAGTACTAAAGTTATTATTATAACAAATACCTTCTAATTCTTTCTAACATAGCTGGGAAATTGGTTCTGAGATGAGTGAGGAATTTCTCTTCAAATTTTGCAATTTCTGAAGTTTATACTTTATCCAAAAATCCTCTGACACCAGCATAAATGACACAAACTTATTCTTCAGCACACATTGGGACCTATAATATGATTCCTATAAATAATTACGTATTATTTTTATTTAAGTAATTCAGTCAATTAAGCACCTCTATTTAATAATTATTAGGTAGCTGCATCCAAATCTGAACCAAATTAGGCAAATGCAGCAACTTCTCTGTATTAAGCCAATTCTAACTTAAGTCTACCAGCAACTGTTTTCATGGCTTTGATTTAAGCAGCTGATCCGACTCTTGACACTGACAAACCGACATTGATAGCTGGTCTAATACCCTTAAATTAAATTAGAATTTATGATACCTTAAAGAACAATTCAGTTTCCAAGAAAATTTATCCATCAGTAATAGAAATAACATTGGTTGGAATATAAGCTGAGACATCACCAGCTTATGTTTCAATGACTGGTAAGGCAGTTAAGGATCCATTTCCATTTTCTGCATTAAGTTTAGCTGCTCTTTCTAACAATCTGGAATGCAAATAAAAGACATCACCTGGATAGGCTTCTCTGCCTGGTGGTCTTCTCAATAATAATGACATTTATCTATAAGCAACGGCTTATTTAGAAAGATCGTCATAAATAATAAGAGCATGCATTCCATTATCTCTGAAATATTCTCCAATAGCACAACCAGAATATGGTGCTAAATATTAAAGTGGAGCAGCTTCTGAGGCTGTGGCTGCAACCACAATTGTATATTTCATAGCACCAGCTTATGTAAGAATTTTGACTAAGTTAGCAACAGTTGATCTCTTTTAACCAATAGCAACGTAAATGCAATATAATTATTTATTCTTGTCACCAGAATCAAAGTTTGGTTTTTAATTGATAATTGTATCAATAGCAATAGCAGTCTTTCCTGTTTATCTATCACCAATAATCAATTCTCTTTATCCTCTTCCAATAGGAACTAAACAATCAACAGCCTTTAATCCTGTTTACATTGGTTCATGGACACTCTTTCTTGGAATAATTCCTGGTGCTTTTAATTCAACTCTTCTTCTTGCATTTGTTTTGACTGGACCATGTCCATCAATTGGATTACCAAGTGCATCAAATACTCTTCCCAACATTTCCATTCCAATAGGGACATCAACAATTGCTCCTGTTCTTTTGACAATATCTCCTTCTTAGATATCTCTAGAATAAATGAATTAAAATGAATTACCTGTCATTACCCAACACGACAATACCAACATTATCTGTTTCCAAATTCAAGGCCATACCTCTTACTCCTGAACTGAATTCAACCATTTCTCCTGCTTAAACTTATGTCAATCCAAAAACTCTAGCAATACCATCACCAATAGAGATAACTGTACCATATTCTTTGATGTCATTCTAATTTATCACTATAATCCTTTACCAATTAGGAAATATTTTTAATTTTATCTTCTAATACACTGGATGCTTCTCCAATACCCAATTTCTTTGAGAATCCCATTGATGGTAAATACCAAAGTGATTTTCTCAATACGGATGTATATCCTCGTATCATAATTAATTTATTTAAATTAAATCTTCAAATCAGAACATAAATACTTAATATATTAACAACCTTTCTAATTGTCATTTACTCCTATTTCATTACCTAAAACCTTTAAATTAATTTATCAATTCCTATTCTATCTTAACTCAATCTTACCACTCGAAATTATCTAATTAGCTTTTAATAACTCCAAAAAAAAATAATTATACCATATAAATGTACTATTACTAATGATAAACTTCATACTCTAAGATTTTATATTAATAAATAATTATAAATCAAGAATATTATTCAAAATAGTATTATAAATATAAGAATAATTATGTAGATTTATGTATTCATAAATTAATATTTGATAATTTCCCTCTATCATCTTATTATAATATGAGATTCATATATATTTTAACATCCTTCATTTATAGTTTTAAAATATGATATTTATAAAATCTAAGAAATATGTTTAGAAAAAGAATAAACTATATTAACTAAATATATTTAAGATATAATATTCATTATAAATTAGATAATCTCTTGTTTTTAACAATCAAATTTTCTATTTTATTATAAATATATTTTAATTTAATAATGTCTTGGTACAAATAATTGGGTAATTCTGTTAAAGAATTGAGATTTGTGTTTTGCTAAACTTGTGGTAGATCTGAAGGTGTTAGGTAAAATAATGGAGAATTAATTTATAGAAATCTTGTCTCTAAAAATTATTGGTAATGGAAAGAATCAAATCCAAAATTCCCATTTGTTGTAAGAGAATGTGAATCGATTGATCCATATATTCTTATCAGATATAGTATTTATTAATTGAATTGTTAGAATATGGAGTTGAAAAGAAGGCCTTGATTGGAAACTTAAATGAATAGGAATTAGAATAAGTCTTAGGATAACTTGTTGCTTAATCTAATAAAGTTAATTCAACTATATGAATAGAAGCATAATAAATTATACAATCAAATTTAATATAATTTTTAATTATTTGTTTGCACAGCCTATCCTACAATTTAATTAAAACTTTGCATATGTTTAATACGTTTGACTAGACTATCTTTAGTTGAAATATTCTTCTTTAATAATATGCTTTAATTATATAAATAATTGATTTTCTTTTCAAATAAAGAACAGAGACTTGATTCTGCTGAATCATCTCTTTCCTCTAATTTATCCTCACCTTAATAATGTAATTTTTATTTAGAATTATTTTTTTAATTATATGATTATTGTGATCTATCAGTGACACATTTTCTTTATTCTCTAAAAGATTATTAAGATTTTTGTATAAATATTTGATTCATTTTAGCATTAGAGAATCTGAGTGTTTTTGACTTTAATTATTTTGATTTATCTTTAATTTATGATTCATAAATTGTGTTATTAGCAAAATTAGTTATTTCATTACTTAATTATATTCTACTATCTTAATTATCTTCACCAATCTCTGTTTTATTTCTTCTAGTTATTATTTTTAATTGCTTAGTTGAATTCACTTTTTTTTAAACACTACTTTATAAAGATTTATCATTTTCAAATGTTTCCTGTAATTATTATACAGCAAAGTTTGCATTTTGAACCATTTTTAAATTCTTTAAAGTATTCTCTCTAAATAATAATAATTTTATACGCTGTTAATTCTTCATTTATTTTATTCATGTGTTTTCTAATTATAACTTTTTTGAGTTATTTAGCTAATTATATACTAGGAGTATCACATTTTGATGTATCAATTTGACTGCTTATTTCTGATCCTCTTTTTCTCTTATTAAGATTATGTCTATGAATAATCCTCTCTTTCAATTTTTTTAAAGCACTTTCTCTTTGAGTATAATATGGAATGTCATCATTTGTATTATCAAAAGATCCATTATCGTTCTTTGTTATTTTATATAATCTCTTGTAATTTTATAGAGTCAAATATTCATCAGCTTGTAAATCTCCATCTAAATATGCTTGAAATTTTATTTAATTATCCTATTCTATTTACAATTTATTATATAAGAAAGATGGTTGCTCTTTTACTAATGGATCATTTCTAGTAAATTGACTTGCCTATTTATAATCTAGTTTTTATTTTGTTTTATAAAGGAAAAGTCTCAAATTCATTAAAGCACTTAGAGGCTTTATTGAATCAGGGGTTTTAAGTTCTTTTCCATATGAATGCACATTTCTTTTTGGTTTTTCTAATTAAGAAATCTGTAGATAATTTGGTTAATATGTTTATCTTTATCTCATGATTTTATTAATTGAATTAAGATATATTTATATAACAAGATACTTACACTATACAAGGAAATTTTATAATTTCATATCACTTATAGAACTACTTTTTAATAAAAACAATCTTGATGATTTTATTAAGCACAACATCCTTTTAAGAATTCTTAAAAAAAAGAAGAAATTACAATATTGTAATTGTAAATAGTAACAAACAAGAAGCAGGACAATAATTTTATACTAATTTATATTCAATCCATGTTTTTTTTTGTTTAATCTAAAAAATTAACATTCATTTATATTCGAAATATATCTCCATTTGCACTTTTATGAAGATTCATTAGCATTTCTGGATACATTCATATTAAAGATTAATAAGGAAATTATAAACACTAATTATTAATTTGCCATCCATATGGAGGCTATTTCTATAGAAAAATATAGTACCCTCTTTATTGTACTGTTGATTTTATTTTTATATTATATTAGTTAATTGAAATAGTTCTGATTGGCACTAAATGATTTACTATTTGTTTATACATTTACATTTAATAAGTATTTATTTTATGATTATTCTTATTACAATAAACATATGTATTTGTATTTTTCCTTTCTAAATTTTTCATTATGATTATTCCTCTTTTTATTTAAAATTCAAAATAATATTTTATTTAGTATTTTAATCTAATTAGAACATGTTTATAAAACATTATTTAGTATTTTAATATCACAATAGTTTTCCACAAGTTATTGATATAATCATAAGAAAAATGTAATTTCTATCGGTTTTCGTCTTACAATAGAACGAAAAATTAAGTTTTGTCTTTGGCCAGTAAGACAACTAAATATTTTTAGTTTAATATTAATTATATATTATCTATGATATTTTTTTAATAGGTCTTACTTAAGTCTAAGTCTATTAAAGAATTTTGATATTATAAAATTATTTTTGATTTCTTTGCTGAACTAATTCTAATTTATCAAAATTTAAATTATTAGGAATATATTATATTGGTTTACATCATAATGAGGATAAAAAATTTAGATTTATAATTATTTTAACTTTTAAGAATAAATATTGTTTGCTTGGATAGTCTAAAGGTATATATTATTTAGTATTATTTTCATTATTATCCTATTTCTTTGTTTTAACATCTTATGAGGAATATCTTATTCTGATTGTTCATCTTATTTAATAAGTTTAAAAGAGTTTATTCCATAAATATTTAGAGATTGATTTTATTCAGTATGTATTTTTTCAAATTAATTTCATTATATAAATTATAAAATTCCATTGATTTATTTGATGCTAATAAAATAATAGATATTAAACTATAAATTAATATTATATGAAATGCGAAGACCCCTTATAATCTTATATTATCATAATGATTATAAAAGTATATATGATTTATTCATTGAATTTTTTCAATCATTTCAAATATTTTTAATTATTTACAAGGTGATATGTTGATGTCTATCCATTTAAAAGAATTTAAATACAAAAATAGTTGTTTTTGTAAAGAATTGTAGGATACATCAATTTCTATGGTTTATTTTATAAATTTAGTTTTATTATATTTTTATAAATACATGATATGAGAATATTTAAAATATCGATTGAATATTTCTTCGTTTGGGTATCACAAAATCTAAATTTTAAGATGATCTTTAGAAAATTTCATTTTTATGAATATTATATTAAATAAAGTAATTAACACTACTAAATCAACAGAATGTATAACGAGTTCTTCCTACAACTTAATTACAAAATGGACAATAATGAATTATATCTTTACATGATCTTAGAACACAAGGCAACCAACAAAGTGGCCAAAATAGAAATATTAGTAAGCAGGTAACTTAAATTGCCCCTAATCCATATTCAGTTTCAAGTCTAGTCATGTTAATTCTTTGACAATTATTGCAAAAAACTTCTTGCTTTGTTTTATGACCATCAGCTGTTGTCAAATAATCATTTCTATTTTTATCTATCTAATCAATACTTAGTCATTCTTCTTGTTAACACCTTAGGCAAACCTATTTCTAATATTAAATCAGCCTGGTCTCCATTGTTTGGAGTGATAGGAACCGAATTTAAAAGAACATTCACTTATAAAGGAGAATTCACTTATGCACTTTGAGCTAAGTTTACAAGAGAAACTTTTTAAAATTCACTATTGCTTTAGCATTATGTCATTTGATTACAAATCTCTGAACTGTTCTTCATTATATTTGAATTAAAGTATATAATTATTTATTGACAAGATTTGTTAATGAATTTATATCAATTAAACTTATAAATATTCCTAAATCTTATTCCCATTCTTATTCAAAATACCAAAATGAATAACAATATAATTTATATTAAATAATAATCAATTAATTGCCAAAATTTATAGAATTCAAAATGGATTCTATCTTGCCAGTCTTTCTTTCATGCAAAAAGAAATCCATAATAAGAGCCTGAAAAATATCAAAATCATTATTGAAACAATAATGGTACCATAACCATCTATATGTTCAAACCTTATAAATTCTTATTAATTAAAATAAGGTTATTAGAGTTGAGCTGGAAATTTTAATCTATCATCATTTCTGATAACATATCATCTTTTATAGATAAGCTTAAATTTAAAACAATGTACTATATTCTTTTATTATATATAAAGTCTTTAACTATTATCCAAAATATTAAAAGGAAAGTTTCCATATTAGAATTAATAAAAACTGGTTATTACATAAAAAAGTATATTTGGTTTCTAATTAAATTGGAATTGATTTGAGCGAGGTTGAATATATGAAATTTGTTTTTGTTAAGGTTAAAAATAATATTTAGAGAATTCACTATATTATTGATTTTAATAGTATTATTTAAAATAGTATAAAATTTAATTAATAAGATATCTTTTAAATTATAACATAAGCATTACATTACATAAATAAATATATAGATTATTTAAAATCATTAGCAGGCTTGGTATGGAGTAAATCCTACTGTTCTTCCACAATGACTGCATCGATGATATGCATCTTTACAATCTGAAGATAATAAGGGAATTAAGCATAATAATCCAAAACAAAGACATAATAACACAGCCATGCAAAATGTATCATCACCTGATTTGAAGTGAACATTTGTAACGGCATTTTTATTACAGTAGGGGCATGATATTAATGTTGGAGTTCTAAATCCAGAGGCATTTCTAATAAGCTTTAAGTAATAAATTATTGATAAAAAATACATTATAGATTTAAGGGGTTTAGATAACAATCCCTGTTATTTATTATTGATTAGTATTTGGTTGGTAGGGCTATATTATTTATTATAATTGAGGATTTTATTATTAAAGTTATTGATTTACTTAATATTGATCACCTTAAAGATTAATTCCTTAATAAGAATTTGATAATTATTGTTATTGAGCCACCTATTACTATACATATTAAACTTAATTATTATAAGGAGAATAATATTGATTATTTTCTTATTATTGATCTTATAGTAAAGGGATATTATTCTATACTTAATAATCCTAAGCTAGTTTTGCATTCTCTTAATCCATTTTCTTTATAAAGATATATTTAATATTTTTAAAAAAATATTTATTATATTAAAAAATAATGACATATCATACTTTAATATATATGTATATATTTCTAAATTTTTTATTCTCATAATGAAACTTAATTAAGTCAGAAAAAGAAAAAGTTATTAAATTGAATTTTAATTTTAACATATACACTAAGATAAATATCAATCAACTTAATCGACTGTTGGTCCTTATCCACCAGCACCTCCTGGGAATCCAGCACCTCCTGGGAATCCTGCACCTCCTGGGAATCCAGCACCTCCTGGGAATCCAGCTCCTTCAGCTCCTGGGGGAGCACCTCCAGTGGCTTGATAAACTCTTTACATGATTGGATGGAAGACCTCTTCAAGAGCCTTTAATTTATTTTTGTAGTCATTGGTTTCAGCATTTGGGTTAGCATCAATCCATTTAGTTGTTTCATCAATCAATGATTCAAGTTTTGATTTTTCATCAGCTGTGAATTTGTCTTTTAATTTTTCATCTTTCATGGTATTTCTAATTTAATAAGTTGTTTATTCAAGACTGTTTTTGGCTTCAATCTTTGATTTAATGATTTCATCTTCAGCTTTGAATTTTTCAGCTTCCTTAACTAATTTTTCAATATCATCCTTAGATAATCTACCCTTGTCATTTGTAATAGTAATCTTATTTGATTTCTTGGTAGCTTTGTCTTCAGCATGGATGTTCATGATACCATTTTCATCAAGATCAAATGAGACTTCAATTTATGGAACTCCTCTTGGAGCTGGGGCAATACCATCTAAATTGAATTGTCCCAATTTATGACAATCTTTTGTCATTTATCTTTCACCTTCATAGACTTAGATTAAGACACCTGGTTGATTATCAGCATATGTTGTGAAGGTTTATGATTTCTTTGTTGGGATGGTTGTGTTTCTTGGGATCAAAACAGTCATAACACCACCAGCAGTTTCAATACCTAATGACAATGGGGTGACATCCAACAATAAGAGATCTTTAACTTATTCGTTACCTTATCCTGTTAAGATAGCAGCTTAGACAGCAGCACCATAAGCAACAGCTTCATCTGGATTGATTGATTTGTTCAATTCTTTTCCATTGAAATAATCTCTCAATAATTCTTAGACTTTTGGAATTCTTGTTGATCCTCCAACTAAGACAACTTCGTGAATTTGATTCTTGGAAATACCAGAATCTTTAAGAACCTTTTCAACAGGTGGGATACATTCCTTGAACATGCTCATGCATAATTCTTCAAATTTAGCTCTTGTGATTGTGCAATTGAAATCTTCATTAGCATCTAAAGCATCAACTTCAATTGTTGTTTAATTGGCAGATGAGAGAACTCTCTTTGCTCTTTCACATTGAGTTCTAAGTCTTCTCAATGATCTTGGATTTCCTCTGATATCAATTCCTTTCTTCTTTAAGAATTCAGCACAACAATATTCGACGAGTTTGTTATCAAAATCTTCACCTCCCAAGTGAGTATCACCAGCAGTAGCTTTGACTTCAAAAACACCATCTTCAATAGCCAATAAGGAGACATCAAAAGTACCACCTCCTAAATCAAAGATGAGAACGTGTTCTTCATGTTTAGCTTTCTTATCTAAACCATAAGCAATAGCAGCTGCAGTTGGTTCATTAATAATTCTCAAAACATTCATACCAGCAATGGCACCAGCATCTTTTGTGGCTTATCTTTAAGAATCATTGAAATAAGCTGGAACTGTGATAACAGCCTTTGAGACTTATTTGCTCAAATAAGCTTCAGCAGTTTCCTTCATTTTGGTTAAGACCATTGATGAGATTTCTTCTGGGTGGAATTTTTTGTTTTCTCCTTTATATTTAACAACAATCATTGGTTTGTCATCAGCACCAGCTTCAACTTTGAATGGCCATAATTTGATATCTTTTTGAACTGTAGAATCAGCAAATTTTCTTCCGATTAATCTTTTAGCATCAAAAACTGTGTTTTATGGATTTCTAGCAACTTAGTTTTTGGCGGCATCACCAATAAGTCTTTCAGTATCAGTGAATGCAACATATGAGGGAGTTGTTCTATTACCTTAATCATTTGGGATGATTTCAACTTTATCATTTACCCAAATACCTACACAAGAGTAGGTTGTTCCTAAATCAATACCTATAGCAGGAGTTTAAGCCATTATTAATTTCTATTATTATTTATAAAGAATTACCACACTTAACTTGTTTATCAATAGATTATTGGAAGTTTCTAGAAATTTTGATTTTAAATTAATTCAAATACTAATTTCTCGAAAATTCTATTTTTAGAGAATTAACTTGATTATATATTATTCTTTAATTAAAAATGCATTAATGCTAATTTTTAATATATATATATTGATTAATATTGTATTCACATTTAATTTTCTTAATTAGTATATTCTACTATTAAAATATTATTATTATCATATTAATATAAATACAGCTTATAGTGATTAGACATATAAGAATGAAAAAGGATTTCACTTTCAATTTAATAATTTTCACCTCAAATTAAAAAAAAAGTAAAATTTTTGTTATTGAAAATTGGAATTATGAGCTATAATTATTATACCAAATCTTTGAATAATGATTTTAATATCTAAATAACTTATATATATTCATAATTGACTAAAAAATCAATTAGATGAGGAATGAAAAATACTTTAAAACTACAAATATTAAATAATTAGTTTATTTTAGTTGTAAAGCAAAATAATAAAATGATTGTTACAATAAATAGAAAACAAAGGGATGTAGAAATAAAATAAAAATAATAAAAAATCTGAAAATAAATTAAAAAATAATCTAAAGCCTTATACTCTAATTGATATTTATAAAGGTGAATTATATAGATAAGCTTTTGTAATAATAAAGAAAAGGGGCAAAATTTTAGATAGTAATAATTTTAAAAAGCAATTAAAGAAATATAACCATAATTAATGATTTAACAATAAAGTATGCTTTATTTGTATTATAAAAATATTTAATAATTGATGTATAGTATTATATTTGGACTGATTTAATTTTTAAGTTAAAAGAATATTTTTTGTAAATCTAACTTTTTTGGGTTATAAAATTTTGATTTAGTCTTGAAGAAGAGGTTTAAATAGTTTATTTAAATAGATAATTGATTTTATAGTTATGAATATAAATTTATATTAGTAACATTGATCATGAGATAAAATAATAATTAAAAAGTTTTTAATTTAGGTTTTAGGAACTGAGATAGTATTAGAATGATATTGGGATATTGTTTCATAATTGATTTATTTTAGTTAATTTTATAAAATACATATTTAATGAATGCAGACGAGATCACATTCGTAAGTATATTAATTAACGAGTTTAAGGCTAATAATTATTCTGAAACAATATTTTAAGATCGATAATTAAGATTCGCATATCATTCACCATTAAGATCATAATCTCAATTTTGTGTTCAAAAGAGTAGATCTCAATATGTACCAAATGTATCGAGTGTGGCAAGAGTTAGAATAATGAGTAAATTGGAAATGTTAGATTCCTTAAATAAGGTACAAACAGCAAAATTATGTAAGTGAAATATCATTAAATTTGAGCTCAAAAATGATCCTCCTATGAATTCATAAAAATCTAATAAAACAGACATACTTTCAAAAGTTGCTTAATTAGTCAAGAAATTATAACATAGAGAATTACCACATAAAATGATAGAAGCAACTGTTTTGTCTCGTAAAACATCAGTTCCAAAAAATACAAAATTGCTTCTTTAATAAGAACATATTGTGAAATAAATTACTATTACTTAAAGAGCCAAAGGTAAATAATAGAACTAAAATTAATGTTAATCTCATCATGAATTATATAATGTAGAACTATTAAGAAGAAGTCCTGAATAAAAGGAATAGAAATCAGAAGATAATAATGAATAAAAACTTGTATAATAAAGACTTCCTTAAATCAAATCTTAAAAAGGGTTTTCAAGAAGTACTAAAAATATTGCTCCTATTTAAAAAAATGTGATTGTCAGTTATTAAACAGCAACTAATAATAGCATTACATAAATTAGTAATATATAAAATACATCAAATTAACAATAAGATACTAAACCAATTATCAAAGTCAATAACTTTAATAATGTGTCTAATTTATTATAAACAACTAATGTAATAACAAAATAACCTAATTCATCTGAAACTGATAAAAAATCTTAAGCAATAATCTCATCATTATAAATATTACAATAAAAATAAACAGCAAAAAGATTACCAATACCTGATTCGAGTAATTTATCTCTAAGTGGATGGACAGACCGATCCCCTATTAATTGATATTGATTTTTAAAGATTGCAATATTTATATATATATATATATATATAATTATATTAATTATATGTTCTTTATTCTTAAAAATAAAAAAATATATAAATAAATTAATATTCATTATAATTTATTTTATAAAATGTTTAAAGAGTATTTTTATGATGTGAATGAAATAGAAAGCTCTTAAAAAATATAAAAAAATGCTGAAAAGTATATTGTAAAGCACTTGAATCATGTAGTAGCAGATATGTAATTTGATTTTGAATTAATTACTGAAGTATCAAATATTTTAATTATTTGAGCTTAAATAAATTATTAAGAAATGTTGGTGAAAAATAAATACTTAAAGAAGATTGTGAATATATATGGACTAGATATCATATTTAAAGATTCCTTAATAAACATACTATTTTTAAAGATGAAGAAGTGATCGAATTCAAATAATTATAAGAATTACCATAAAAGAAGAAATAAGTTAGATTTGAAGAAGAATAAGCAGAAATATAATAAGTCAATTAATTTAATATCTTAAAAGATAGAGTAAGAACTGGAGGTATTGATAAAGAAAAAAGAGATAGAGAAAGAGCTGAAATGGAATTAAAATTATTTGAAAATATTGATAAGATTAAAGAAATAAGTGATATTGATTCATTTAAGCCACTTAAGTATTAGAGTATAATATAAAAGATACATTGTATAATTTGATGATAAAGGTAATATTATGCTTGATAACACTGAATTAAAAGATGAAGATGTTGAAAAACTTTAAGGCAAACAATAATAAAATATTTCCTTTGAAGAGTTTGCAGAAGATGATATTGCCATTAAATAAGTTGATTTAAAAAAGTTTAATAAAAAAAAATCAAATAGTGATTCAAGTGAAGTTCAATCTAGTGATTCAGAAGATTCTGAAGATGATTATTTAATGCAACAAAGAAATCTTATTAAGAGAGCTTGATCTTAATTAATTATATCAATTTGTTAACTACAATATAATTTTCAAATAAATATAAATATTTATATAATGTAACCAAAGAAAAAGAGTTCTTTTTTGGATTCTATCAAATAATTTTTTAATGATGCTCCCTCTGATGAAATTATCTATAATGAAGCAACTTCCTCATTACCAACAGAATCTAAATAATCCAAATAAAGTTCATAATAAAGTACTAAAGGAAGATCTAGTGATCCTAATGTTTTCAAGATTGATAATGAAGATGAAGCCAACTAAATTTATAATGATGAAGAAGATGATTCAGAATAATAAACAATGAGTGAAATGCAAAAAGAGTACAGAATATTAATCCTTTATAATTTTAAATAAGTTGGTAAACCATTAGATTCAGGATATTAGAAAAAATAAATCATCAATTTTCCTCCTGGCAGTACATTTAGAGTTATTAAACCAATCAAAACTCATAAATCGTTAATTGATTATTTATCTTCAGAAACTGAAAGATATTTAGCTTTAGATGGTGGCTGGATTTACTTTTTCTAATTAATCAGTAAAGATAAATATTTAGTCAGTTCTACAAATTCTTTAAATAATTTAAGTTAAATATTAATTAAGAAAAATGAAGCTAAGCCTACATTTAGATTTATTTTTACTACCAAATAAATTAAAAGATTTTATTTAGTTAATATTGAATAACAAGATTTGTTATTTCTAAAACTAAAAACTGAATGCTAGAAACATGGAAAATCATTTAATTATTGAATAAATTTAAATATAAATATTAATCGATATTAAAATATAGATTAAATAATAATAATACCTATTTGATAATAAAACTTAATATCAAATTGTTTAAGATTTCATAATTATAATAAATGTCTTAATAAATAAATTTATATTGTTGAAACATTAATTATTATTATTAAATGTATACAATATTCTTTTGTATTTTTTAAATATATCTATTTTATATCTATCTTTTATATTAAAATTAATATATTAATTAATCTATTACAAATTTTAAAGGAAATACTAAAAGGTTAATTAAAAAGTTTGAGTAATTTAAATAATACATTATTATTTTAAATATTTTTACTAACCTTTTCTTTGATATTTCTAAATATAATTAGGATTTATGAATAAATTATTAATAAAAGAAAAAACTAATAATAAATTTTTTGTTTGTTAATGAATAATTTAGATTAATCAATTTAATCGGAATTCAATGAGTTTACAGCTTAATTTTAATAATAAGAGAAAGTCATTAATAATCCAGAATCATTATCCTTCTAAAATAAATCTGAGTAACTTTATCAAAATTAATCAATACAATTTTAATCAGCTGAACAATTACAATCATTTTAATAGAGCTTTAATCATTTTTAAGACTTTCCTTAAGTTGAATTATTAGATACATCATAAAATGAAACAGAACAATATCTAAATATAAGTTTTTAAGATATCATATAGCTTCTCTTTAATAATGAATGTCCTCAGCTAAACAATGTCCTTAAAACTGTTATTTTTAGGAGTTGTATAATCATAAATGTATTTACAATTCTCAACTTAATTTTTATTATTAATGAAGTAGTAGCCTTATATTTTTCATTAATTACTAAGGATGAGATAAAAGAATTATTCAGTGTTTATTTTGGATTCAATCTAATCTCTGATTGTTTAGTCATCTATATTAATTGTCAACTTAGATATACTATAAATGAAGCTGAACAAATAAATCATGGAGATGTAACTCATTCAATTATTGAATACTTAAAATATACAATAAAATTAAATAGTCCATTCGAAGATATATTAGATGATGAAGAATAGAGTTCCTAAGCATAATAAGTAGCTATTAGTATCTCTGAAAAGATAACAACAACTAAATGGATATCATATTTGCTTGAAAGTTAAAATTCTTAAATGTTTGCTTTAAATCGTGTATGTTTATTGGTTAAAATGATATTATTTGCTTGGGGTAATATCACAATAATATAATGGGCATTTCTGAATTGGAATGATAAAATGAAGGGAATGGATTAATTTGAATTCATATTGATAATTTTGACATTGATCTCAATGTTGATAGGTTACATGGTTATAGCTATGATAATATGTATAATATTAATGATATGTGCTATCATTCCTATATTAATAGGAATGGCTATATGGTAATCATGTAGTTGGTGTACTGATCTTTATTATGAATATAAACAACATAGAATAGAATAATAAAGGATTGGATTTCTATCAAATTTAAATTCACAAAAATTTTAAGATTTAAAGAATTAGGATACGAATATACATGAAGAATGTTCAATATGTTTATAGACCTATTAAATTGATGATAATTGTGTTAAATTACCTTGTAATGTAGATGGTGGTAATAAGAAAATCAATCATATTTTTCATGATGAATGTATAAGAATTTGGATACAAGATTAAGGTTCTTGTCCAATATGTAGAACTATATTTATTGAAAGACTTGAAAATTGATTTATTTTTCTTTTATTATTATTGATTTATTCTTAATTTAATTAATAATTTTAGTTTTATAGCAGTTAAACCATCAATGTCTCTAAATACAACTATGCCATATTATCGTAATACATCAAGAGAGGTTAAAACTGTCAGAGAAATTATACAAGCTGAAGCAATTAAAAGTGCTAGAATTTTGAATAGAGATAAAGTCAAAGTTAAACAAAATACATCAATTGGAGATTGTAAAATTATATGCTTTATCATAAGTGAATCGTAGTAAAAGAAAAACAAATAATTCATTTTATGATAATAGAAATATAACTTAGAATGAAAATGCAAATATATTGTAAAGTTATTTAGCAAATGCATTCTAAGAGAAAAAAGAACATTTATAAAGGATATAGATACAAGAAATTAATAATAAAAATAAATTAGAAGAGAATAAATAGAAAGAAACTAAATATTTAATGAGAATAGCAGAATTAGAAAAAGAATCATCAAAATTAACTGAAATGGTATCAAAATTAAAGAAAGAAAATACATAAATAAAATAATCAAGTAATAGAGAATCTATAGTATTGTAATTATAAGAATCATTAAATTAATAAAGAATAGAAAATTAAATACTTAAAAAATAATTAATTCATTTATAAAATACACATAATAATATTAATAATAGTATATAAAAAAGAGTAGATATTTAAAAGAGTATTACATTAAATACAACATATACAGTTAATACAGCTAATACAACAAATAATACTTTTAATGATATTATAAAATCAAAAGAGTATATACCCAGTTATTTACTTGCTTTAAGTTTAGCTGAATGAATTAAAAATTGATAGTTATTTATATATTTATTTTAATTATCTCTCATTTATTAAATATATTTAATTTATTTATATATATATATATATATTATAATCTCTCATTTTTTTATATTTTTATTAACAGATTGAACTTGAAATATTTATAAATTAGATTTATTATAAATTTATTTATATTTTCAAGAGAATTTGATTAAATTATAGAAATAGGTTTTAATAAATATAAATAAACAATTATAAATGATGAGATATTTATGCTCATTAATAATGTTTTAGAGATTTATAATTATTACGCATTTATTATTCGATTATATTTTAAAGCACATGTTCATTTGATTATTTATTCTTATTATTGTTAATTTAAAAAGTCATGAATATGTTCCAACTATTATTCACAAAATTTGCTGATATTTTATTATCATCCAGAACTTATCCGTTCTTGTAATGTCAACCATCCATCTAAAATTAAGTAAAAGAAATAGGCGTTATTTGGACTAAAGAAATGAATGCTAATGTAAAACAGTTACTCTAAAACAATTGGAGGACATCTCAATAAAATGAAATGATTGTGTAATTTTTTATTGAAAATGATGGAAACTCTTTCTTAGTTGAGGAATGGTGTCTAATTTAATAACAAGGCACTATTTCTAATCAGTTAACTAATAAAAATAGTAATTCATTACTCAAATAATTAACTATTTGGTTACGATCTGCAATTGCCATGATGACTATGACATCTATATTTTAAGAAGAACTCATTACTAAATAATATAAAGTCTCACATAGTTTATTATTTTATAATAAGAATACTAAAAAAAGAAGTGATTGGATAGATGACTCTAAATTATAAGTTAAAAAGATCACAACTAAATTTCTTAACTAACAAAACCTTTAATTAACAATAGCTTAATAGGGATCATTAGAATAAGTATTGTAACAACGAATTAATAGAACTGAGTCACCTTTATATAAGAGATGTCGTTATATGAGTGAATAAATTTATGATAAAGACTCATAAGTATTTTAAAGGAAAATGACTATGGATTCTGAATAGTTGGATTAACAAAAATCTAATCTAATAGACAATACTTCACCTTCATCTGCAAATAATCTCAATAGATCATTCATTTCAGTATATTCCAAAAAAGAAGAAGTTGAATTATTATTTACACCTGAAGAAGCAGTTTTAAAATTTTAAGATAAAAACTTTTTAGATGAAGATTATGAAATTAATATGATGACAAATGATCATATCTAAAAAGAAATCTTTATTTCTCAAATTATGATTACTAATAAGCTTTCAACAGAAGAAAAGAACTGTTAATAATAAACTATGAGCATCTTAAAGAATGTTCACAACAAATCAAAAAATAAAAGAATTAGATCTCTTCAAATCACTAGATTATTGAGTTTCTATAGATAACTGTCATGATTTGATTTGATTACTATTTTATTATAAATATTAGTTCATAGTTATAATCATTTTATTAAAGTCATCTATTATGAAATAAGTAATTTCTTATTCATTTTTTTATTATTTTAATCAATTAATGGTTTTAGAGAAAAAATATTCATGATATTATTGAATTAAGAATATTCTTAAATTCAAAATAAAAATCATATTCAACTATAAAGACTCTGACTAAATTAACAGTTTCTTTTAAAATTGATTATAATTGCAACTTTATCATAATTAATATTTTCAAACTAATACCTTTATTTTTTATTATTATATTAAAAGATTCTTTTATTTAGACTAATTAGATTATTCTAATCTATTTTTACTATTATAAACAAATTTAATAAGAGAATAATATATTTCTATTTAAAGTTTACAAAATATTGACTCAATATATATAGAATAAACAAAGGAGTAATAATAATTAAAGAATTCTTATATAAAATAACATCAAATTATATATGAGATACTTATCTATAACTATAAATATATTATTATAAAAATTAGGAATATCAAATTATGAATATAGAAAAATCATAATATTAAATATAATCAAAAAACATGTAAAAAACATAGATTGATTCAGAATCTGGAAGCAATTCTACCTGGAATAATGAGGAAGATTTAAAATTAAAGGATTTAATTAACATTCATGGTGTTTAATGGAATAAAGTAGCAGAAATAATTCCAGGGAAAACTGAATCTTAATGCATTTAAAGATGGCATATGTTATAAGTAAGAATTCCATGCTCATCTAAAGAATGAATAGTATGTATAATGGACAAAAGAGGAAGATGAAGAATTATAAGATTTTGTATTGAAACATGGTGAAAATTGGAGTAAATTAGATTTAATAATGAAAAACAAAACATAAAGTCAAATACAAAATAGATGTAATTAATTAAATATTCCATTGTTTAACAGACCTTGGAATGAGGAGGAAGATAATTAATTATTCCATTTATTTGATAAATATGGAACAAAATGGAATCAAATTGCATAATTTATGAAATATCGATCTGTAAAGAAAATTAATTTCATCTTTAGGAAATCGAGGTAAAGAATAGATATTATTCAAAGCATAAATTATCAGAACATCAAATGACTTTGGTATTTAAACTAAAATATTCATAGAATTTGAAGATGTCTGATTATGAAATTGAAAAATAAGAAGAATTAGAAAGTAAAACATTCAAAACTGAAATTAAATGTAAATAAGAATTATAAAATATTGAACCTTAACCAAATAAAAAAGTTGATATCAAATAATCTGAATAATAATAAAAGGATAGTAACATCAGCTATTTATGTCCAAGAAATTTTATATTTAAATTTGAATAGCTGTTTGATTCTTCATAAAATGAACCAAAAAAGATTGTATGGATACCAGTTCCAATTATTAGAATAACAAAAAAGAATCCTACAATAAATGATAATTTATTAGAATAATCAGTTGAAAATTTAAAATAAGAGGAAGAATTATAAACTAAAAAAAATTGATTAACTTTTATATAATTTTTGTTTTATTTTACTTTAGAATGATAAATAAGGAAAATTTCTTAAATAAAGCAATTTAAAGAATCAGACTTGATGAAATCACAGTAAAAGAAACATATTTTCAAGATGATTTAAACTAAGAAGATAGATTAAAAGAGTTTGAATAAAAATATCATGGTTTTAGAGATAATTTCATTGAATATAAACCAAATAAAGTATTATATTAAAAATATAAACTAAAGTCTAAAGCAGATAATATTGATAACTAACAAAAATTAATATAAGCTTTGTTTCCAGGAATAATGATGGAAGACATTACTGCAGGTATTTTGGCTAATGTGACATTACTATATATATAAGAAATAATAGAAACTGCTAAAGAGTTAGCTGTGAAGAATGAATCATTAAAAATATCTCAAAATGATATAATAGAAGCAGTTAGAATAGCTGAATTTAAGAATTAGTATGAATTAGAAGAGGAATTTTAAAGGTTTTTTTAATGAATAATTATATTTGACATAAAAAGTAACCAAAAAATTATTTCTTTATAATATATATATGTAATGTTCATTGTAGTTATTTTATTTGATTTAATTTTAAGTTTCTCAATTAGTTATATATTTTTGTAATTTCTTAGTATTTATTCTTGAAATAGAACAAATTAATGATCATATTTATATGTATTATTTTATTTCATATTATATATTGATGTGATTAATTAGTATATTCATATAACTATCCAAAGTAACATATTATAGGTTGCTAATTTTAATTAATTATTTTATGATATTTTAAAAGTTTTATTCCTAAATTATCAATTAATATAAAAAAATCATTTAATTTTAAATAGAAGATGAATAATAAAATTGAGTATATATAATTATCAAACCTTAAAATTGAATGGAATTAAAGAAGTTTATTATATCTATAAAAACCTAAAAGAAAGATAGGATTGAGCAGCTACATATTTAGAATTAGTAATTTCTGAAAAAGAAAAGTTTTATTTCTTAAAGATTTTGAAAAGAAATTTAGTGTAATAAAATTATAATTTGATTTATAGAATATTAGTTATTTTGAGTTTTGTGTTGAATGGAAATAAAATTGTAATATTATAATTGTTATACTCTGAAATTTCATATTATTTAATTTAAATTATACTAAGTAGTTTGAGATGGGGAGTCAATGTTCGAATTGTTAGAGTTGTTAAAGGAAAGATGAAATTTTAATTAGTGAATTTCATCAACAATCAATGAATCATTATTCACATAATCAACCAGATAATGAGGAAGAAGATGATTTAGATAATTCATTGAAAGATGATTAGAAAGAATCAAAATTAGATATTTAGGATCCTGTTGAACATGAGATTCAAAATTAATAATAAACAATTAAGAAAGCAGAGATAAATTTAACTTCTTGTAATTTTCATAATTAATAGTTAGAGTCTAATAGTGATAGTTAGAGAAAGAAAAATGAAATGGCATTTAGAAATCATGAGGATCTTTTAGAAACATTGGGAAGTAGATCAAATTGTAATTAGAGAGAAAGAAGAACCTAACATATATTTAAGAGTGGAGCATCTTATGAAGGTGAATGGATAGGTTAATAAAGAGATGGTTATGGAGTATAAGTTTGGGTTGATGGTGCTAAATATGAGGGAGAATGGAAGAATAATAAAGCTGATGGGAAGGGTAAGTTTTGGCATTTAGGAGGAGATTATTATGAGGGATAATGGAAAGAAGATAGAGCTTGTGGTTAGGGAGTATATTTACATGCTAATGGAGCAAAATTTGAAGGAGAATGGTTAAATGATCAACCACATGGTTATGGAATAGAGATTTGGGTAGATAATTCTAGATATGAGGGAAATTATAGTCATGGTAAGAAGGATGGATTTGGAAAGTATTATTGGAATGATGGTTCATCTTATATAGGAAATTGGTAAAATAATTTGATGGAAGGATTTGGAGTTCATTACTGGGCTGATGGTAGAGTAAAATTTATATTCAATTAAGAAATATGAAGGTTAGTGGAGAAAGAGTTAAATGAATGGAAGAGGGACTTATATTTGGCCAGATGGAAGATAGTATAATGGAGAATACTTGAATGACAAGAAATAAGGATATGGTGTTTATATATGGCCGGATGGAAGAAGTATTAATAAATGAATTAAATTATAGAGTATGAAGGATATTGGGTTAATGGGAAATAAGCTGGAAAGGGGAGATATATATTGTCAAATGGTAAGAGTTAATTGGGATTGTGGGAAGGTGGTAGACGCATAAAGTGGTTGGAATAGGATGAAGATATTAAACCTATAGGTTGGGATGATTATGTTGATCTTAAATAATGTGAGTTTAGTTTATCTGGTAATTGAATTAATTTAATTTATTTATTATAACAACTTAATAAAAATTGAATATAATAATTTATATCTAAAATAGTATTAATAATTGAATATAATTATTTATATCTAAAACTTTAATTAATAATTAACAGATAAATATTATGTCCAAAAGACTAGAAGATCGTGTGATGTTAAAGAATTAGAATCCAAATTACTTGTTAGATTCAAATTATCTTGATCGGAAAAAGCAATTCAATTTTAATATTTATGATCGACAATCACCAGCAGAGCGTAAATCTACTGACAGTGGATAAGGAAGATATTACAATTCTTATTACTAAAGACCATTACCTTAGAGATCTCCTGATGAATATAAGCCTTTTACTAATCATTAATTGAGTAAGATGCCTTCATTTTTGAATTATGATAAAGGTGAAAAACTTAAACGTTTTCCTTCAAATGATATTTAACAATAAGTGAATTCATTTTAATACCTTCCAAAATAATAATACTCATCTATGCATGATAGAGATCAATCTTAAAAAAGAAAGTTTTATTTGAATGACATAGTCTAAGTGTAAAAGAGACAATAAAGTCCAACTGCTTTTTCAAAAAAATAAAGTCTTATAGATGTAGATAGAACATGGATGTTTACTAATTAATAATAGAATTCGTTTTTTAGTCCAAAAAATAATGAGTAGCCAAAATTATTAAAAAATGCTAGTGATTATATTTCAAATTATAGACCATTTACTTCTTTTGAGGTCTAAAATGATAAGAACTTATCCAAAAATACATCTTAAAAACTTTAACCTTATTTGAATAATAATTCAAAATTTGATATAGAGAAACTGAGAATGGAATTAGAATAGTATAAGAGAAATAATAAAAGTAGAGTAGGAGATGGGATATCAATTTTAAAAAATAGAGAATAAAATAGGGATTATTCTAATACATACATTAGAAGAGATGTTTCACCTAAATTAAACTTTAATTATATTAAACCAAAAGGTAATCATTTATATAAAATTTAATAGTTGAAGAATCTAATAAGGATATTTTATTCAATTATAGATAACAAAAACAAAATTCTCCTTAAAAATAGGTTCAAAGTTTAAAAGCTTCAAGATCAGAATTAGGAAATCCTAAAAAACAACCATTTTAGTTAATTTATTCAAAAAATGATTAATAAGGAATTTTATCTGACAATTAGAGATTTTTATAGGATAGAAGAAAGACTCCAGAAACAAATAGAGTAGAAGAGTTGAGAAAGTAGTTATATAGTACTTATAAACCATCAAATAGAGAATTGTTTTTTGAATCACTTAATAAATCTACACCTTATAATAAGAGTAATAATATTTATATTGATTAATAGTTGCTAATTAGAGAGAATAAAATCAACAATCATCCAACAATAGAGAAAAAGATTAAATAAAATATAAGTTAGATAAAAAATTCAATTGATATTAATTATTATTATTAATAAATAATGTTTCAATAATCATAACCAATTCATCAATCAATTATTAAATATGATGATGATGATGTGCCATTGATGTTTGAAGTGTTGCCTTTTGAAGGAAAAGGAGACTATACTTTTGAGGAATTTCAATAACTATAAGAACGAATAGTATCACATTAATAGATGATGGAAAATTACAAAGTAAATACTTGGGAAACTATGCATTATTATGAAACAGTAACTGTTGATAAATGTAAATCAGCATTCTTAGATAATAATGAGGAGTACCAAGGTATGATAACCATGATAGAGATGTTTAATGCAGAAGTAACTGTCTTCAGTTCATCAGGTTCTAAATGCCTAGCAAAGGAATGCTAGAATACGTAATGGAATGTGGAGACTATAGTTTTTTCGTTCTCTAGCCAATGTAATAAGAGAGATATCATTTTTTACACGTAATAGAGAGTTACAAGCTAAATTCATAACAAGATGTTATAATTGGGCATTAGAAACAATAACTAAAATTGATTATTAAAGTCGTAAACAAGACAGTGATTAAGGACCTACTAGACCACCAACAGGATAAACTAAGAGGCCATTTAGTAGTGTAACTTAAGCTAAAAGACCTCAAAGTGCTTTAACAATTAAAAGTATGCGACCATAATCTGGATATCCAACTACTGTGATAGATGGATATGCAGAAACAACTATTGAATAAACTCATCCAGATAGACCTGATTCTGGAGTTACTGGTACTATTCGTATTGATTAAATGGTATTTAATTATTTAAATTATATTTAAGAAAGAATCTCAATATAGTAAAGGAACTTTACTACCAGGTGATATAATTTAAGATTAATTACATGATTATTAAAATGGATTTAGAACTAAACATGATTCAATGCCTCCACCAGATCAAAGATTAACTAATTATAAAAGAAGGATAATTTAAAATTTTTAAGCACCTAGACCTTAAAGTGCAGTTGATAGTTCAGGTAAAATTTAAATGAAATCAACATTTCCAAAACCAATAAAATCAGCTAAACCTACAGCTATAGTAGAAGAGAAAGATGAAGAAGTAATTTAAGGAGATTTAGTAGATAATAATGATGAAATATTATTAAATGAAGAAGATTTGGCTGCAAGATAAGCTGAAAATGAGGCTAAATTAATTATTTAAGAAGAAGAAGCTAAAAAGAAAGAAAGGACACTTGAACCATAAATAAAAGTTTTTTTGAATGATGAATAAGTAGAAAACAATTAGAAACCTAGAAACTTAGATTTTGAAACAAGAGATGGTTTTCAATAATATTAAAATTCTAATTAATCTAATGAATTAAATATTTAAAAGAAATACTAAAAATTAAGAAATAAAGAAGCATAGTAAAAAAGAGAGGATGAAGAATTAGTTGCTATGATGCATTAATGGTCTTCAAATAAAGCTAGAGTTGAAAGAGAAATGAATAGAAGAATAGAAAGTGCTACTTATGGTAATAGATTTAGAGAATTAGAAATGAAAGAAAGATAAAATAAAGAAAAAGATTACAAAGAATTAGATAAAGTAAATTTATATATAAATATATAGATTTAAAGGAATCATCAATTAAGTTTGAGTAAAAATAAACCTAAATGGGAAGATGATTTAAGTGATTTATCAGATGAAGAGGAACAAATGAGTTAAAATAATATTGAAATTGATGGATAAACTGGATTGATTGATGATGATGGATAAAAACGATAATAAAAAAAAGTACGTCCTTAAACATGTCAACCTAGAAATTTAAATGAAAAACTTCCTAATTATTAAAAAGATCCTAAATTTATGAATAATACTGATTTTAGAGGACTTGAATCTCAAATATCAAAACATAATATAAACAAAATCAAAAAGCTTCATGGAAATATAATAGGATTATAAGAAGAAGATGAAGCAAATCGTCTTAAACCTGAATAAAGTATGTCAATCTATGGTAAATAATTATCATTAACTCAACAATAAAAAAGACCTTTGTCTGCAATATTAGCTGCTTAACCATTGGATTAAGTTCGTTATGATTAATTATAAGTAATTATTATTTTATATTGAATAGGAAATAGAAGAAATAAAATTGAGATTGGCTAAAAAAGGAGTTGCAGTACCTGTGTAAAAATTAGTTAATGCTCTATTAATTCCAGATCCAATAAACTTAAAGGATCCAGAAGGAAACTCTTTACCACCACCTGGATTTGGTATGAAAGTTGATCCATTTGCTAAGAAAAAAAAATCAAAAAAAAAAAAGAGAAGTAAGAAATGAGTTACTATATAATATTTTTTATCAATTTTATTTATTTATTGTTGAGTAATAAAATAATTAAATATTTAAAAATTTTGAATTAAAAAAATATGAATTAGAATGGCAGATTAACTATTTATATACATTTTATAAATCAGTGTTATGATATTTCTGATCTTCCTTTAGGGGATATTCTTAAAGACATCTAATTGCCACTAGCTTTGACATTTAGATATTTTATTGGACTAGTTTTAATTCTGTCTTCAACTTAATCAGATTAAGTATTTGCTTATATTCTTCTCCCAGATCTTGGTTGTTCCTTAGCTTCTTCTTTAAAGGATGGATTAGATTATAAATTTTAGATTGATTATTCCTTTGGGAATAATAGCTTAGCCTTTGATGAATAAAATTAATATATATACCTAAGATTATTAAAATGATTGAATAGCTTTATCTTCTACTAATGTTATTTTACTCTTAAATTCACTAGTCACATCTTTACAAGACTCAGGAAGTGCAGTTTAATTATTACTTCCTTACAACTTTTTTTTTGCTAATACGATCTTCAAACCTTCTAATTATTCTACTGCTTTTTAAAGAACGACAAGTTCGAACGTAGTTGTTTTAAGTAAAGTCTAAGTTGGATGTTGATTAAGTTTATGGGTTAAGTTTTGAATTTGATTATTAGCATATTCAAGTTATTTTTTGAGACTCTAATTCTCTCTTTCTAAAGTTTATACTCTTAATGCCATATTTTCATAAGATTATCCATTAGGAAGATTACTAGATTATCTATTTTTAAGTCTCATATCTGCTGAATAATGGTTGTCTATATCACCTTATTCATATTATCGTTTAGGTTAGTTATTGGTGGGAGTTAAAGGTTGAGGAGGAACAACTCTTTAAAGAGGAGAATTAGAAGCATTTCTCTAGGGTTAATGATATGTTTATGGTATAACTTGTTAAGGATAATGTTGCTACATTTAATAAAAATATTAACAGTCAGATGTTTTTAATGAAAATTAGATATTATTTTTTAAGATTGAATAATTTAAGACAGAATTTATCCAAAAACTTTGACAAGTACAATTTCATAAAATCAAAAAAGACTTTTTATTATTATATATATAATTATTATTAAACAGTTAACATGCAATATTCTTAGTATAATAGAATCAAACCACTTGGAGAGGGTGCTTATGGTAAAGCTTATTTGGTTAAAGATATAAATGATGGGTATAAAGGTTGTAATTTATTGTAAGTTCATTGTGGGTTCAAAAATAAATAGACATTAATGTGATGACAGAAAAAGAGAAGATGGAAACCTATAGAGAGTTTAAAGTGCTATAATAACTCCAGCATCCAAATATCATCAGGTTCAGAGATGTATACATTACGACCTAAGGGAAACTCTGCATCATCATGGAATATGCTGATAGTAAATGAATGTCCCTAGTCTACTTTAGGAGGTGATTTGGGTTACGTTTTAAAGAGCTAAAATGGAAAGCAGCTACCAGAGATATAAATTTTGGATTGGTTTACTCAAATATGTTTGGCCCTTAAACATGTTCATGATCGTAAAATCTTACATCGAGATTTGAAATGCTAGAACATATTTATTACTAAAAATAATCGTATTAAGTTAGGTGATTTTGGAATTGCCAGAGTACTATCACACACCTTAGAGAATGCAAAAACCTAAATAGGAACACCTTACTATCTTTCTCCAGAAATTATTGAATCTAAGCCTTATTCATATGCAGTATTTATTTTATTTAACTAAGAGTGATATTTGGGCTATAGGTATTGTTTTATATGAAATGTGCATGTTGAAACCTCCTTTTGAAGCTGAGAGTTTGCCATTTCTTTGTCTAAAAATTTGTAAAGGTAGTTTTCCAAATATCTCATAAAATTACTCATCTGACTTAAATGCCATTATTAAATAATTACTATAATCAAATCCAAACAGAAGACCAACCATCAATAAAATATTAAGTAAGTTAATTTCATTTAATTTTAGAAATGCCTATAATTGTAAAAAGAATTAAAGAATTTTTAAGTTAAAGTATTTAAAAAAATGAATTCTCTCATACAGTTTTGCATAATTAAGTAAATTTATTTATTTTTAAATCAAGAAATTAGATATAGATGCTAATATTACTGAAATCAAAGTTCTTGATGATCTACCTAAACCACCTAGTCTTGTTAATTAATAATAAAGTGGACCTATATATTAAAATCCAGTTCCTCTTGTTAAAGCTAATAATTCTACTCCAAATAACATTTAAAATACTCCAAAACCTGCCTAACCTAAATAAGTTTAATAGGCTTAGAAACCATAACCTTCTAAAAGAGAAAGATCTTTTACACCATAAAAGAATTAAATATAGAAAAAAAATAATATTTAAGTATCTAAAAATAATCCTATTATTAATCTTGCTAAAAATGACAATAAAAAGAAAGTAGATTAAGTTTAATCAAATAATCAAATTCCATAAACTAAAAGAGATTCACAAATTGATTAAAATCCTAAAAAAGCTAAATTAATGAATAATGTTAGTTCACCTTCATTATAATAAAAATAACCACTTTAAAAACCATAATTATAATAATAACCTTCTTAATAATAGTTAAAATAATAATAACCTTAATAAAAAATTGAAAGTTTTGAAAATATAAATGAATATGATGATACTGAATAAGATGAAGTATAAATGGATTATGGAATTAAATTTGATTAATCTGATGATAAAAATGCTATTGAAGATGCTAAAATTTGTGCTAAAATGGAAGAAGCTGTAAAAAAAATGTTAATTTTTATTATTAGTTAATTGAAAAAGAAGAAGTTGATGAAAAATTTGAATAAACAAAGTAACGAATTATGGAAAGTGAAGTTGAAGGGAAAATACTTTATGAAGAAGAAGAATTAGAAATTTCACCTGACAATGTAAAACCTGTTAGCGAATCAAGTTAATTATCTTTCCTTGGCAAATCGAATGGAGTACTTCAATTAAAGACACTATTAGAATAAGTATTAGGAGCAGATAAAACATAATAAGCTTTTAAAATATTATTAAAGTAATATTATTTTTAATTAGAGTGAATTGAATACAAAACCTTTAGAAGATGTAGAAAAAAATGGTTAAAATAATTATCAGAAATTGCTACCTTTTTTAACTTTAGAAGAACGTAAGAATTTTGTTCCGCTTCTTTTTTAACTAATAGTGTTAACATAATGATTAATTTAATTTTCAAAATTAAATCAGATTTTTATCATTTCTTTTATTTTTGATTTGGAATAGCACTAGCTGGTCTTTTCTTTTATTATTATTTCAATTTTTCCTTTTCTTCTGAAATCTTTAAAGGTCTTTATTTAGATCCATCTTTAATTTATTAGAGTCTTTAAAATTCATCTTATTTTATTTATTTTTCTTCAACTATTCTTCCTCCTTGAGTAATTACCCATTATTTTACATTTTATAAATTTACTGAATCTAAATGTTTTATTATAATCTTATGCTACTTAATTTAACCTTGTTTATTTTTAACAACATCAATATCTGCTATATTCATTTAATGAATATTGAGTTGATTTGTCAATTTTTCCCAATTAATCTCTTTACCCATTCCTCTTATTGTTAATTCTGTATAATAACTTTTGGTAAATAATGTATCATCCTTCTCAAGTATTTTTCCAGGAGATCCCTAAGGTGATTTTGATGTGCTTTTTGGTTACTATAATTTAATTTGATTTTAATTTTGTTTATCTAACATTTGATCATAATACTTATGTGTATCCATTTATGAACTCATTCCTTTCAATAATTATCTCTAATGATAATTAACTCCATATAATTCACTTTCTTATAATTAATCTTAAAGAGATCTTTTTATAGTTGTCTATTAAGGTTTTTATTGATAATATTTTTCTAATCCATTACCTAATACATCAGAAAAATTTGGGTTTCTTTGTTTTAATTCAATATTTGGATTATTAATTTTATTATATAATTTTTCTGGATTTTATAATTAATTCAAAATTTATTTCTTTTGTTCCTTTTTAAATTGTTATTTTTCTTATTTTTATTAATTCTTAATTTCATTTTCTTAAAATTTTGGTTCTATTTATCTTTGTTTTTCATTAAACGATGCTGTTTATATCATCTAATTATTTTCATTCATTAAGTTATAAGCATTTGGTTTTGAATCTTAATTGAGATTTTAATGTTTTTATTTATCATTATGTTATTCTTATGATTTAGATTAATGCTTTTATTACTATTAGTGTTATTATAAAAATAATTAGTATTATTGCTGTTACATTTATAAAAATTATTCTTCTGTTAGTTCAGAATAGTTAGGAACTTACTCTAATTCAAATCTTTATTAAGGGCTTGTTTGAGGTCTACTTTGAATGATTTGGGAATTAGGGATTTAATAGGAAAGTTAATCCTATTTCTGATTAGCTTTTACATTTTAACTATTCCACCAAAAAATGTCATAGGGAAGTAGTTCTAAATTAAATTGAATTACTACTTTCAGCATTTTAATTTGCTAGAGCCTAAATATCAATTTAATCTTTTTAAGGGAGATTAAAAATGTTGCTTTGTTATTATTTTGCTTTTAATATTTTTGATACATTAAAAGGTGATTCATCAGAGAGAACTTTAGATTGTTGACTAATTATTTGTGGTTAGTTAGGTCCCTATTAAAGATGGTTATTCTGATATCCTGGAGAGTTCTTTTGATTTTTCAGTTAAGACATTAATTTTTTAAATAAAATAATATATAGTATCCTCACAAAATTATGAAAATCTATTTTTAACGCATTTATTATCTAATGATAACATACACTTTTTATTAATTTTTACTAATTAAATTAATTTATGAATTTGATCTCAATATGTCATTCATTTAATTGATATTATATATATTTACTATTGTATAAATTACCGTAATTAATTTTAAGATGTATCAATATAAAGAATACAATATATATGAAAATTCCAACGAACTTTTGGAAACTATTTTACATGAATTTAATTTTGATGATGCACTTAAGTTTATGTTTAGCTTTGACTTCATTGTTACCATAAATAGCTGAATAAAATGGTTATGTAGATTTGGGTAATTATTCGATTTTGGCAATCTATATGGCAGAATTCATTTTTAATATACTATCTCCTGCTTACTTAAAAAATAAAAAATTCAATATAGCATTTACTTTTCAAGCTTTGCTAGTGGTGCCTAGCTTTTTTGCTTCTGAGTAAATTTAATAGAAATTGTAGTTATCTTACAAATTGTAGAAATGGAGATGATAGTACATGGATATGTAAGCCTTAGATTCTAAGTCCAATAAGCATAATTTTTACTTTTATTTTAGGAGCAGGACTTGGTGGATATTTTGTTGTATAAAACTATTATGTAAGTCAATGTGCAACAATTGAATCATCAGAGATAATGTTTAGTACAACATATATCCTAATGGGTTTATCATCCATGTTAAGTGGATTTTATTCTAAATTAATGTTAAGACTTGTATCAAGATCAACATTTTTTTGGGTTACAGGTTTCATAGAATTAGGATTATCGATGCTATTTTTATTTATTAGAACTCCATAAAAGGTAGATATGATGGTTAGTGGAGTTAAAGTAAATGATTCAGAAATAGAAAGAGAAACAGATAATATTAAAGAAGATGATTCAATAAAATAAAATATAATGGATATGTATAAGGTGTTTTTAGATAAAAGCACTTATATTTATTATCCATTATTTTGGATGACTGGTATAATAATTGGATTTGAATATGGTTTACTATATTAATTTATTAATAAATCATTGGAAAAGTATAATTATGATGAATAAACTATTAATGAGAAAACAGCTGAAGTTTATTTATTTGTAGGAATTGCATAAACTTTAGGAGCTTTGATTAATGGAATTATAAAGAAAACTTTAAAATCATAAACAAGTATAGTACTTTATACAAATTTGTTAAGCATTATTGTTATTTTAGCATTAGTAGAATCATTTATTGATAGTTTCAAAATAACAATAATTCTTGGGTTCTTCTTGTAAAATTTTAATTAATTTTTAGAGGACTTGCTGACATCAGTGGATAGTTTAATTCTGCAATAACTATTTCAGAATAATATAAGGATGCTTTACCTATTTATGGAATTTATTTTTGTTTTTAAAATCTTTCAATTGCACTTGTGATTATATAAGCAACTTTATTAGAATATGTGCATTTGGGATACAATTTATTTTTAGTAGGAATTTCTTAAATTACAGTTAACTTAGCTATGCATTACGTAAATAGAAAGAAAGCAGAATGATAAAATATAATAATTATTTGATATAAGAAATGTTAAGAAAAATACTTAAGTTTACTAATTTATATCATTCGGAATGTTAAGATAGAGTTGCTTATGATTTTTCTGTTTTACATCTATTACATCTCCTTCTTCTAGCAAAATTGAAATTTCCACAAATATTACATTTCCAATCATTAGGGTTTGGAATAAACCTTTTTACTCTGCTATCCTAAGAAAGATTTTATAATAATATTCTTACAGCTTAATCTCTACTCTTTCTGCATCTGTTGCATTCTCCACGATGACGGAAATTAATATTATAACAATACTTGCATTTCCAATTATCCTCATTATGTAAAAAGGAAGTAGTTTTTTTCTTTATTCTATAAAAGATTTATTTTTATTTTCATACTGACTATCGCTCCTGCTACTTCTCATACTAGAATCACTACTACTAAAAGAAGAACTACTATTACTGGCTTTCAATAATAAAAATAACAACCTTTCTTCCTTTTCTTCTTTTTATCCTTCTTAGATTTATTAGACTTATTTTTCTTTTTCTTTTTTATTCCTTCATCTGATTATACATAATACAAAAATTCAATTACCATTCAAACTAATACTATTACTGCTTATACTATCAAGAGGTGTTAGTTGTTGAGGAGAAATATGATATTATGGCACTGAACATACATTAAACTTTATTACTTTGAGGCGAGACATAATAGCCATATCCATTATAATTCAATGATGAGAATTGTTATTATTCAAATCCATATAATTAATGTTGTTAAGAGTAGTAAACCTACTAAAACATTGGTACTTGCTGTTACCCTTACAGGCCTAAATTATCAAAAGGAAACTTTTAAGAATGATTTTGATAACTCATTAATATAAATAAATGTATGTCTAAAATAATTCTCTATATTCCACTCTTATAGATTCTTATCTTTCAATGAAAAGTCATCCATATTTAATTATTGCCACCTATATTGTAAAATATAATATATTACCATGACAATATTGGCATAGCAGATTGAGTATGTTATCCAATTTATTCTGAATATTTCTTCATAATTAATTAGCTTAGTTTGACAGGTTTTTTCATTTAAGAATTTATTCTCTATTCATGAGGTTACTAATATTTTGGATTTTCATCACCTTAATCCATTTCTTAATATATATTACAATATAAATATGGATAGAAAAATAATAATATATTATATTTATAAATGTCTTATGCTATAAATATCATGCTTGATAAATCTACATGTTTCCTTTCCACTACTCTGGATTGCATGCTCCAACATAGGCATTACGGATTAAATCTAAAACGAGGTCAATCTAAGTAAATTTTGAACTATGCATTAGATGAACAATAAATTTATTTAAGATGAAGTCTATAAAATATTCCTTGCTCTCCTCAGAATTTAGACAAATTCTCCTAAAGTCTTCAATAGCAAATGATTATTGAAGCTTAGCTTGCTTCCTTTTCATAGCATAATCCCTAAATTACTGAATACCTTTAGGAATATTACAGTTGGGAGACTATTCAATTTATTTTAGTAAGTGTGTTCCTATGAGCTTTGGGAAGTTTTTCCTGACAGAAAAGTGAACATTTTTCTTTATATGCTTTCTGATTTTCTTCTCAATCTTTTGAGTATGAATGGATTTCTGACAACAGGATAGGCAATGAGGTTCCTATTTACAGGGATTGTAGAGTGTCGATCCAGGTTGGCATGTCTAATACTACTCTTTAACTTCAAATTAAGTAGATAAATTTGTTGGGGATAGAGAATATATATGATCTTGATTCCAGCCTATTGGAGAGTCATATGGGCTTGCCTTTCCAATCAAAAAACTCTTCTATTGTTTGACTGCGGTATTATAGGTACTGGCATAGTCAAATTAATTGCGTGAATCCTCATCGCTATAATGATCATCTAAAAGGTATAAAAATTAAGTACCTATCTACCAATTGATCTATTTATAATCTGAGTCATCAAACACTAACTTGAATAATGACATTAATTTAATTATTAAAAATTGACCTTTATAAATTTGTATTTAAATAGCCTTTTATGGATAGAAAAAAATTCATTTATATATTGAAAATTAATAAAATATTATATATAAAATTATTTATTTAAATATTCACCATAGTTGATATGGAAATATTGAATAATAAATTAAGTAAGTATTGAGCAAACTATGATGGATAAAGACTTTAATGGGTAAAATGGATGAAAGTTAGAATATTTAAGAGTTTAATATATATATATATATATATATATATATTGAAAATATAAATATCTCAATCTTATAAATACTATAGTAACACATCTAATTGAATTGGCATCATAATGTAGGTACCTAGCATGTCTATTTCATTGTATATTAAGACGTCTCCCTTTTATCAATTTATTAAATAATTATTGTCTCAATTATATAGAAATGTTATTTTTCAATCTTAGTTTAATAAGAATACAATTATCTTTTAAATTGCATATACATATATATTATAACAAATATATATTGAATTCTTTATTGAAAAAAATAACATATCAAAATTTATTTGAATGCATAATTAAAATTTTAAGACTCTTAATAAATGTGTTTAGGAGGAAGTCTTTTAAATTTACAGACGATTAAAATAAACAAAACTTATCATAACCTTATTATAAAAATTGATTTGTATGTTGATTTTATTTGAATTAAAAAATATACTATATTGTTAATGTTCCAAGGTCATGAACCTAATGCATTTTTAAGAATACATTAGGGATCAAACCTTGAATGCTTTTTGTTATTTCCTTCTAGTTGCGATTAAAATGGAATTTAATCTAATTTAATCTTTGATCAAAGAAGGTATAAATAATTATTCTTTTTTAAATATTAATTTATTAATATTAATAAGAACTTATATTATGGGAATAAGTAAGGAAATCAATAAATTCTGTATTTTTTGATCAAATTTTATTTTTTCCCCCAATAAATCAAATTTATTAGCCCAAAAATAATTAAAAATGGGCCAATACAGAGACATGGTAATGTTATCACTAAAATTGGATCTGAGAATTATCCATTATTATGTAGAAGAACATATTTCTTAGTTTCTGTAAAGGCATCATTGGTTTCTAATATTGTATATATTTTTAATTATTTACTAATCTGAATGTTAACTGTATATTTTCCAGATTCTAAATCTTAATCTATTCTTCCCCATAATTTCCTAAATCTACTTAAAGGAGATGGTCTCATCCAATTTATAAATCTTTCTAATTTAAATGAAAATAATCACCTGATTCCATGTCTATCCATTATTTATCTAAATTTATATTTGTAAATTTTTCTCTATCAGATTCCCATGCAATACCTTTATCAGTAATTGGAATTTGTTTACCATCTTTAATCAATGAAAATTCATCTTAAAAATAATTTAACTTTCATCATTACCATTCATATATGAATATGCAGCAATACCACATGGTATAGCTATTTCATCTTATGCTAAAGCTTTTCCAGTAACACTCAAAGTTTTTCCCATTTCTTGATTAGTTTTATATTGATCACAAATTGAAGTATCAAAATCTGAGTCTCCATACAATTAATCATATGGGATGCTATTAAAGTATTTATCTGTGTTTTAAAAGAAAGATGAAACTTCGTATGAAAAAAATACAGGAGATTTCATTTTAGATGGTACATCAATGTTGATCTACAATAATTAATTATGTAATTTACAATACAGGAATTCTTCTAAGCACAAATTTCATCATATCTAGTTGATATATATTCATATTCTATATCAACTGTTTGTGATACAATTCCAAATGCAATTAATACCAATCCTGAATTAGTTTAATTAATCATACCCATTAAAATAAGCAATATTGGATTCAACTTTATGTATTTTAATTTCCACTCTTACAACTATTTAGTTTATTCAGAATTCATATTCATGTTTTATGCTGTTGGAAATTTTAATTTATAATAATGCAAAGTAAATTTTCAATTTTTATGTTATGATTTTCTTAAAATCAATTCGATTCAAGAATAGATGAAAACCAATATCAATTTACTTTTATCAAAATAGGAAATTCACTATGTACAATTACTAATCTAGATTTGCCTTTAGAATTTTTAATTATTTAATTATTTTGATGAAGAGTGAAGGAACATTCAGAAGGCATGATTGATGCTAAATATTATTTGTAAAAGAGTCAATTGATTATGAAACATTTAAATAGTTAAGACCAAAATGTTGTTGAATGGATAATTTAATTAGATGAAACATAGAAGCAATTTGAAGAAAATTAATTTCATTATCCCTTATTGGAACAGAGTGTATAATTCATTAATCATATTGTTATCCATCCTTTTCTTCAACTTTTGGAAAAAAAAGGATTGTAATTTCTAAAATTTTTTAATATGAACTACAATTACAATATGAATAATAATCTATTATATAAAATTACTAATTACAGATTGAATATGTATAAGAAGACTTTGGATAATATTGCATTCATTTTATAATTAAAGAAGAGAATTTACCAAATATCTCAAAAATTTTAATGGATATTTTAAAAAGTTTAAGTAAAAAAAAAAATACCCATAAAGAATGGGGTCAAGTATATACAGTTTATAGATCAAATATATGGGTGGTGCCTTTTTCATAACAAATATTGATAAGGCAAGGTAAATTTAACTTAAAGAAATAACAACCTTCTGTATAATTAATCTAAATTTTATGGAGGATTTAAAATAAGGTTCAATTTTGAAGAAACTTTATTAAATACTCAATGATTAGAATTTAATCTCACAACAAAATATATATTCCTTATGTATTCAAGCTTACATAACTTTAGTTTAAATAAATTAAATAAACAACGAAATTGAAAGAGGAACATTATTTTAGCAAGAATAATTTAAAAGATCTGATATAAGAAAATTTATATAAAAAATCGACATAATCTCTATCTATTTTTGAAGGACAGGTAAAATAAAATAAAATTGAAAGCTTTGTCAGCTAATAAGTATGTATTTAGATCGAACTTTTATGATGTACAGACATTAAAATAAAAAGCGAACCACAGTAAATTGCATAATAATATTTTTGAAGAGAGTTCTTAAAATTAGGAGGGGAAAATAAAAAAGGTCATTAAAATCCATGAAGGATAGGTATAAATTTCATCATTTAGTCATCAAACATATACTAGAAAATGGGCTAATCATATTAGAGGAGATTGTGTTAGATATTTTAAATGGCGATACAAAAAGGTTTGTTAATAAAATGAGAAAATTACATCATATTATTAAATTGGATATTTCTAATTGGTTATCAAATGGATTTATGAATTTTGAAGTTCCAAAGGTTGGAGTTATTCATATAAAATCAGTGATAAATCTCTGCGGTTTAGGAACTATTTAAATAAAGTGAAGTATTATGTTTATACATATATATATAATAATTTCATTTATAAAATCTTTCGTCATAAATGCAATCGTTGATTTTTTCAGGAGTTATATGAAAAGATCTTACTTTCTATACAGTTGATCTATTTTATTAAGTTAGTTGTTATTTTTTTTGGGTTGGCACTTTTTGAGGAGAAGAGATATTTTGATTAATTTGCTACAATTTTGGTTTATTAATGGAAACTTTTTGATTTTAGACTTTTAAAAAGGGACTTTTTGATTATTTATTGGAGAAACAATTATTTTTAAATTTATCAGCTTTGGTTGAATTATTCCATTTTGATTGTTATTTAGGTACAATTGCTGAATTTCTTCTGAAATTAGTTTAAGAAGAGCATTTTTATTATTAAAAAGATTGTGCAGAAGAAATAGATAGAAAATCTTGTTAAGTTGATTTATTCAAATGCTGATGGAAAATTGATTATTCTAATGATTCCATCTTTATGTAATTTTAGAATTTATTTTAGTTAGCATTTTTGTCAATTGATGTAAATAATTATTGTAAATTCTGCATTAAGATTTATTTGTTTTCTTCAGGAGATGGTAATATTCTTTTGGTTATACCTGTAAAAATAAGTGAGTTCTCATCTTATTCAGACATGAATATCTCGACACTCACCTTATCACTCTCAATTTTATCAACCATTTTCATTTGCTTTCTTATTTAAGGTTTCGAAAAAATTTCCATTTTTGGTGGAGATTCAAAAGGTTCCTCTTCTACTTATATTTCTTTATCCTCTTTTACACTCATATATTATTATGGATTGAATGAATGCTAATGATGATCGAGAATGTCCTCTCCTTTCACATAATAAGGTTTTAACTTTTGTTCAGGACTTTCTTCAACTGATCTTGTAGGTTTCAATAATTATTAGATATCCATTTATCCTAAAGTCATGTAATTCCGCTTATCAACTGATGATTTGTGACTCCTTCTAAAAGAGCAATCAGGTAAACCTGGAGAATTTACTCTTCTATATTATATTTTAGGTGATTAATCAAGAAGATACGATTGTGTAGTTTCGAACCTACAAGGAGTGGCAGTCTTCTGTTGACAAACTGTATTCATTTTTTAACGTAATTTAATTATGAGAATATATAGATTAACACTAATGGTTAAGACATTCAAGAGAATAATATTTATTATGAAATATTCTATCTTATAGTTTTCTAATTTTCAATGAAGATTCTTATTATTAAATATGCCTCAATTAACTTAAGATTCAAATAAAGTATTTAACATTAGACTATATAAATTTAAATTCATTTTGATTTCATCCCCCATTTATTAAATTATTCAACTTCTCTTAAATAACTGTTTGATAGATATATAAAAATGTTCTTATCAAAAATTTATATACTTAGATACTTTTGTTTTTTATAATGATGAAAATGAATTAAGTATTTTAATAGTTCATTTCTATTAGAAATTTAAATATAGAGTTTAACAAAAACTTCTTTATTAATTTTATGATCTAGCAATTAAGATTATGGTTTTCTGTTGTATATTTATAATTTATTACTTAAAATATATTCAATCTTTTATCAGCAAACATTCTCATATAAAATATGTTTTATAAGAATATGAAACTACAAATAACTATGACTTGTAATAAGACATAGTAAGAATTATACTATACTTTTTGTNTTATTGTAAATTCTGCATTAAGATTTATTTGTTTTCTTCAGGAGATGGTAATATTCTTTTGGTTATACCTGTAAAAATAAGTGAGTTCTCATCTTATTCAGACATGAATATCTCGACACTCACCTTATCACTCTCAATTTTATCAACCATTTTCATTTGCTTTCTTATTTAAGGTTTCGAAAAAATTTCCATTTTTGGTGGAGATTCAAAAGGTTCCTCTTCTACTTATATTTCTTTATCCTCTTTTACACTCATATATTATTATGGATTGAATGAATGCTAATGATGATCGAGAATGTCCTCTCCTTTCACATAATAAGGTTTTAACTTTTGTTCAGGACTTTCTTCAACTGATCTTGTAGGTTTCAATAATTATTAGATATCCATTTATCCTAAAGTCATGTAATTCCGCTTATCAACTGATGATTTGTGACTCCTTCTAAAAGAGCAATCAGGTAAACCTGGAGAATTTACTCTTCTATATTATATTTTAGGTGATTAATCAAGAAGATACGATTGTGTAGTTTCGAACCTACAAGGAGTGGCAGTCTTCTGTTGACAAACTGTATTCATTTTTTAACGTAATTTAATTATGAGAATATATAGATTAACACTAATGGTTAAGACATTCAAGAGAATAATATTTATTATGAAATATTCTATCTTATAGTTTTCTAATTTTCAATGAAGATTCTTATTATTAAATATGCCTCAATTAACTTAAGATTCAAATAAAGTATTTAACATTAGACTATATAAATTTAAATTCATTTTGATTTCATCCCCCATTTATTAAATTATTCAACTTCTCTTAAATAACTGTTTGATAGATATATAAAAATGTTCTTATCAAAAATTTATATACTTAGATACTTTTGTTTTTTATAATGATGAAAATGAATTAAGTATTTTAATAGTTCATTTCTATTAGAAATTTAAATATAGAGTTTAACAAAAACTTCTTTATTAATTTTATGATCTAGCAATTAAGATTATGGTTTTCTGTTGTATATTTATAATTTATTACTTAAAATATATTCAATCTTTTATCAGCAAACATTCTCATATAAAATATGTTTTATAAGAATATGAAACTACAAATAACTATGACTTGTAATAAGACATAGTAAGAATTATACTATACTTTTTGTCTATATTTAAAATAAAAATTTAATATTATGATGAACCAAAGACGATCTGTTAGTCTCGAATCCAAAAAACCTCTTACCAATTCAACTTTTAGAACTACTTAACTCTCTACTCCTAAATAAGACTTAAATACCTACAAACCATTTTCTCCTTCAAAAGAAGCCAAACTATAATTATTCAGGAAAATTTTCAATGTGAAAAAACCAAAAACATCTACAGTTATGAATTTTTATGACATTGATACAGTTACACCTGTAGTGTGTTAGTCAGCTTAATTGGATAAGTATGAGTTCCCAAATTGGTTAAAAGGAAGGACAGATTTTATAAAGCTTCGCAAATCTAAATATTTCGATTATCACCTTAAAGTCTTTTCAATCTGTGAATAAGAGTAAGGATTTACATTATAAAAGTCCTTTCAAGAGATCAGATGAGTTGAAAGAAATTGTTGCTAATTATCTAGTGAAACTAGATTTTTTTCGATTGATGCCAATGTAAATGTTGAAGCAGATATCTGGTAGATTATTTGCAAAATCTTATGAAGAGAATGAAATAATATGTAATAAAGGTGATAAAGGTGATTGTATGTATGTAATTTTTGATGGATTTGTTGAAGTAGTAGGGAAAAATAAAAAATTAGGGCCCAAAAATATTATAGGTAGAAATGCTTTAGACAATGATTAACCTAGAAATGCTACTTTGAAATCACTTGGTTCAACTCATTTATTAATCTTAAATCGAATTGATTATGTTACAATCCTTAATAATATTATGAAGGCAGAAAGTGTAAAATAGGAACAATTTATTAGAAGTCTATAATTATTTGCCCATTTCTCTGAGGAGAAACTAAAAAAGTTTTGCAATGCTCTTTAAGGCAAATATTTAACTCCTAATGAGAACTTATATAGTGCTGGTGATTTAGTTGATCATCTTTATATTGTTAAACATGGGAATCTAGCAAAGACCGTTGTCATGGATTTAGAAGACTAAAATAGATGGCCAATAGTAAATTTTTGTTTATCTTTAGAATTAAAAAAAATGGATGAGTCAAACCATCACAAGAACTTTATCCTTTAATATCGAATATAAAGCAGGATCATTAGTTGGTTATTATGATATACTGGATTCAGAATTTGATTCAGATAGAAAAAGAAATGAAACTATAGACGCGAAAACAGATTGCTTTTTATTGTTTATATCTAAATCTTAATTCTTTCATGGTATATTTGATGTAATCATAAATAGTTTTCCAATAAACAGATTTGCAATATTTTCATAATTACCATGTATAAAACAATCCTTTGACTTTTGAATAATTGGTTAAAAGTACAAGATAAAAGGAAAGCGAATAAAAATAAAAAGTTTAAATAGTCACAGATGCAATTTATTCTCATCTAAGATAATATTCATTTGATTATAATACTTTAAAGATTAAAGAAAAGAAATATGATTAAGTTAAATAGAATTAAGTGAATGCTTCGAAATAATTTAATAGTTAATACAAAATAATAAGGAGAGATAAGCATCTCAAAATATTAACTTCGCAGTATGAGTGAGTTTCATTTTTATTTTTAATTTTTAAATTATATGCTAAGAGTATTCAAGGCTAAAACGAGAGAATATATTAAAGAGACCATAGAATTAAGCAATCTTCAATTTCCTTGGAAATTTGGAGGGTATGACTATTGTTTACATCTTAGATTTCCTCATGAACCAAAGGATGGATAATTAAATGGGTTCACTGATTGGAGAAGAATTATTAATGAAGAGAAACTATAAGAACTTACTACTGAATACTTTCAAAAAATAAATGACTTGTAACCTTTGAGATTGGAAAGAATTGTAGAGCATTCTTTAATGTCCCAAATTTATAGAGAATTAATGAGGTATTAACACATGCTATTTAATTGATTTAAGAACCATAAACATACTCTAAAATATGATATTAAATGCTTTGATTTTTAAGTTTACAACCTTGAAAATATTTTTCGTGTAGGTGTTCATCTAGGAAGATAAAGAAATAAACCATTAGAAATCAGGCGTAAATTAAATGCTATTTAAATTTAGATTTCAACTAAAATATCAACGGACATGATTTTCTTTGTGTATGGAGAAAAAGACCATTTGTTACAGATAAAGCAACTCTTTCCCTTTTTATTGATGTCTCATTTAAAACTTAAGGATCAATCATAATTTTGAATGATAAAAAGGAGACTATCTATAAAAATGATGAAAATGATGAAGAATTCCATAGCATACGTCTTGAGAGTGAAATTATGAATTGTAATTTCATAAGTGCAAAAAATGAGTAATCAAATTTAAGAGACATGAAAAGAATGGATGATAATCTACATATAATAGATATTGATCAGTATTTAAAAGGAAATAATTATATAAATTACATAGAATGAAATATCTATTTGTTGAATTCATAAATTTGTAGATAATGCCTTACAATTAATAATCTAAATAAATAATTTTATTTTTGAATTAACTAAAATTCTTATCAAAAACTATTTGATAATATATTAATCATACATGATTTTAGATTAGTTTTCTTTTAATATTTTAATGAATACTATTGTTTCTCCCATGAATTTCATAACTTAAGTAAATTATATATTTGGATTAAATAGATTTTGGTTACTTTAATTAGTAGATATTTTATGATGCCTTTATGATAAAAAAATTCTTATTTTAGTTTTAATTCTTTTATATTTCAGTTATTTTAGGTTTTTTTGAAATTATGATACAGATTATTTTAGAATTATTATAAATTAAATTATATGGGCAAATTTATTTAAAGATAAAATTCCTTTCATTTAAACTTGCATTCTAATGACTATGGATTAAAGTGACTTATTATGTCGTAAATCAGCACTTTTTTTTGACAAGAAATGCAGAATGCTTAATTTTAACATTTTACACTTTAACATTAGATAACTTTATCAAAGAATACAAGTTGACTCACTGCTTTTGATTTATTACCACAATTTGGGCAAGGAATTTTGTTTTCTTTTTCCTCTATGGCAATAACCTAAACAATTTTAACTTCTTTAATAGGCTCAACTTTTGGAACTTTATCTGGATCTACCCAAGTCCCATTATACCAAACTCGGCAAGGACTTTTAAATGGGTCATCATTTTACCAATGCTTGAAATGATACTGTTATCAAAATGAATATTACTTCTTCTGTAAGTTCTGCATCACAAAGAAAGCAAAAATTTGCCTTGCATCTGCAATACATAAAATTACATCCAGAAATCTTTTCACACATATTATTGCATTTTGGACATTTACATATCTATAAATTTTTCTTCATTTCAATATAAAATGAGTCTTTATGTAGTTCTTTTTACTATTCACAAGTTATTCCTTCATCTTTATGGTATTTAAGTGAACATTTTCTACAAAACTTCATTTTACACGAAGGACATTGCATATACTCTAAAATTATATTATTCTATTTACCTGCATCTTTCCAAATGATGAATTTTTCAATACATTTCTCATTTAAACAATTAGTGAGTAATTCATGATCTTCTAATCCCATAATTTTATTAAATTAAAGTGCAAAGTCACAATACTTTTAAAAAAGGAGGGGTGGAAGGAAGTTTTCGATGATTTCTGGATTAAAGAGTCGACCACATTAGGGACATTTAAAATCTGATAAGTCTATTTGTTGAGCTTCTATTTTAGTTTTAAGCTATTCAGTAAGGCATGCTTTGCAAAATTTATGAAGACAGTTAGGAAGAGTGTAGCATTCTTCCTCTTTATAAGTACAAAAACAAATATTGCAATCAACCATCAAATTCTATAAGAAATATGTGAAATTATTTAATCTTAATTTACCTTTTAAAATATTTTTATTTTTACATATACATCTAAATCAATTAATTTGTTTTTAATAGAAAAATAACATAAATAGAAAAATAATTGAAATAAAACTTTCAATAGATCTCAATATTCATTAAGATTACATAATAATGTCTCTTGATTAAAGTGAATTGATAAGTCGTCGATCTCCAGTTATGTTTGACAAGAAATGCAAAATGCTTAATTTTAACATTTGACACTTTAACATTAGATAACTTTATCATAAAATACAAGTTGACTCACTTCTTTTGCTTTATTACCACAATTTGGGCAAGGAATATCATTTTCTTTTTCTTCTATGGGAATAACTTAAACTATTTTATCTTCTTTAATAGGCTCCACTTTTGGAACTTTATCTGGATCTATCCAAGTTCCATTATACCAAACTCGGCAAGGACTTTTAAATGGGTCATCATTTTACCAATGCTTGAAATGATTCTGTTATCAAAATGAATATTACTTCTTCTGTAAGTTCAGCATCACAAAGAAAGCAAAAATTTGCCTTGCATCTGCAATACATAAAATTACATCCAGAAATCTTTTCACACATATTATGACACTTTGGACATCTACATAATTTAAAATAATTTTTTAATTCTATATAAAATGAATCTCGTTATAACTCTTTTTACTATTCACAAGTTATTCCTTCATCCTTATGATATTTAAGTGAACATTTTCTACAAAACTTCATTTTACACGAAGGATATTGCATATACTCTAAAATTATATTATTCTATTTACCTGCATCTTTCCAAATGATGAATTTTTCAATACATTTCTCATTTAAACAATTAGTGAGTAATTCATGATCTTCTAATCCCATAATTTTATTAAATTAAAGTGCAAAGTCACAATACTTTTAAAAAAGGAGGGGTGGAAGGAAGTTTTCGATGATTTCTGGATTAAAGAGTCGACTACATTAGGGACATTTAAAATCTGATAGGTCTATTTGTTGATTTTCTATTTTAGTTTTAAGCTATTCAGTAAGGCATGCTTTGCAAAATTTATGAAGACAGTTAGGAAGAGTGTAGCATTCTTCCTCTTTATAAGTACAAAAACAAATATAGCAATAAACCATCAAATTCTATAAGAAATATGTGAAATTATTTAATCCCAATTCACCTTTTATAATGTTTTTTAGTTTTAAATCCACATCTAAATCTAAATCAATTAATTTTTGTATAATAGAATTTAATAAAAAATGCAAAATATGTTAACATAAAATTTTGTCAATTTTAATTTTCATTTAAATTTGCATTCTAATGACTATTGATTAAAGTGAGTAATCATGTCATCTATTGGCACTTTTTTTTGACAAGAAATGCAGAATGCTTAATTTTAACATTTTACACTTTAACATTAGATAACTTTATCAAAGAATACAAGTTGACTCACTGCTTTTGATTTATTACCACAATTTGGGCAAGGAATATTGTTTTCTTTTTCTTCTATGGGAATAACTTAAACAATTTTATCTTCTTTAATAGGCTCCACTTTTGGAACTTTATCTGGATCTACCCAAGTTTCATTATACCAAACTCGGCAAGGACTGTTATAAGGATCATTTTTTTGAAAATGGGATGAATGGTACTGTTATCAATATGAATATTACTTTTTCAGTAAGCTCAGCATCACAAAGAAAGCAAAAATTTGCCTTGCATCTGCAATACATAAAATTACATCCAGAAATCTTTTCACACAAATTATTACACTTTGGACATCTACATATTTTTAAATTTTTCTTCATTTCAAGATAAAATTCGTCTTTATGTAGTTCTTTTTACTATTCACAAGTTATTCCTTCATCTTTATGGTATTTAAGTGAACATTTTCTACAAAACTTCATTTTACACGAAGGACATTGCATATACTCTAAAATTATATTATTCTATTTACCTGCATCTTTCCAAATGATGAATTTTTCAATACATTTCTCATTTAAACAATTAGTGAGTAATTCATGATCTTCTAATCCCATAATTTTATTAAATTAAAGTGCAAAGTCACAATACTTTTAAAAAAGGAGGGGTGGAAGGAAGTTTTCGATGATTTCTGGATTAAAGAGTCGACTACATTAGGGACATTTAAAATCTGATAGGTCTATTTGTTGATTTTCTATTTTAGTTTTAAGCTATTCAGTAAGGCATGCTTTGCAAAATTTATGAAGACAGTTAGGAAGAGTGTAGCATTCTTCCTCTTTATAAGTACAAAAACAAATATTGCAATCAACCATCAAATTTCTATATAAATTACTATAATTAATTAATATAAATATATATTATAATAATAATAATAATAATAATAATAATAATAATAATAATAATAAT